CTATACTCGCTTCAATCTCTTATTGTCTCTTGCACAAGCCTATGTTATCAACATAAAATGGCGAATAAGTCTCAGGATGGGTTGAAAGCGTCACCAACTGATGGTCAAGAAGTTGCTAACTACGGCTCAAAACCTCCTCCGTACCTTAACTGGCACGCAGCTATGCCTGATACCTCTACTTTTCCACCGCCGCCAACATTAGGCTTCTTATCGTCGAGAAACGGGAACGCCTCTAGAGACGATGCAGAACGTGCACATGAATTTTGTGACAAGTTTCCTCTATACATGCCTATTAAGCCATCAGCCACTGTGTATATGTCTGTACAAGAGCATGACCTTCGTCCTGTGCTGCCAAAAGAATTTCATGGTACCTTTGCCCTTGTTTCTCGAGGCTGTTGGAAGGGATCTACCAGGGCTAGAAATGGTGATACCTTGATATCAACAAATCTTCCGCTCTACTTTCCCGCTATGGATTCACCTTTCATCACTGAGAAGAGTAAAACTATCTACTTCGAAGTCAAGCTGCTCGGACTCCGCGAAGGGCCAGGCCCGGGGCCGGTACCTACTGATTCCAGTGGGTTCTCTATTGGGTTTACAGCGCATCCGTATCCGTACTGGCGGTCTCCCGGCTGGGAAAGAGGAAGCATTGGCATATTCTCTGACGATGGATGCCGTTTTGTGAATGATTCGTGGGGTGGTAGAGAGTTCACAAGTGCATTCGCCGTGGGTGAGACTGTGGGCCTGGGAATGACTTTTCGTCACCCAGACAGCTCGAGCACAAATCTGAAAAGCAAAATTAAAAAGTGTAGAGTGGACATCTTCTTTACTCGGAATGGTCACCTGGTAGGAGGCTGGGACCTTCAGGAAGAAGTTGATGAAGAAGCTGGAAGTATTGAGGGATTAGAGGGAGACTTCGACCTTTACGGTGCGATTGGATTGTTTGGGGGCGTAGACTTCGAGGTATGCTTCAACCAAGCAGGTTGGTTATGGAAGATGTAGTTATACTAAGGCTGTTATTGCGTATCGTCCTGGAAGGGAAGTATAGCAAATGGGTTAAATTTAGCTTAATACAACTGGCAGACCTATTTAGTTAACGTCTTCATCATGAGGACATATTCTCAGCATTTGTCAGAGGTACGTTGTCGAAGGGCACAAAGAAGGAGATACAGAACAAGAATAGAGAATTTGCAGAAAAGACGACAGTAACCATTTATGTACAGGACTAACATATGTGCCTGGCAAAGTCCGTTGCGACCATTGCGCCTTCCTAGGCAAGAGGATAGAAGATCACAGGGGAAAAAGAAAAGAAAGGAAAAGAAAATGAAGGAAACGCCACAGAGTCCATCGTGTTCAACATGCCGTGGGAGGGTGCAGTGAGACCTTCTAGAATAGCTCCTGCAAGACTTACCAGGATATTCCTTGTTGATATACATACTACATTAGTGTGCCGGGGGGATGTACAAGCTGCATTTCCGCTATTATCCTATATGCTTATGCTACCAATATTTGGCTATTACCAGAGGAATTAATGTCGCCCACGTCCCGTTATGTTTGTCTAGCATGAACTTTTGACGTCATAGTGTTAGCCTTGATGCAACAATCAATATCCGCTGGCAAGATTAATGGCAGGAGTGTCAGACAGTCGATAGGGCCTACCGTCTCTATATATTGTTCATGTATCTTATTGGGCCTTAGCCGGGTCGGCCTATGAGGAAGAAGGAATAAATGTCTACGGTTTGGGATGCTCTTCCCGTCTCTAAAGGTGTATCGATGGCTAAGCAAACTCTGGCAGAAGACCTTAGTGACAGATTCCATATATATGGAAATCGTTACTTTTTTTTTTTTTTTTTTTTTTTAAGAAAAGCTCTTTGTACACGGTGTCCTTGACCGACCATTGAGCACATAGGTATGTCTTGATAACCCAAAGGATTGTCGATGAGAACACTTCTTCCCATACAACTAGCCAAATACCTAGCAACCGACAGGCAGGATTTCAATAGTAACCTTGCTTGACTTCGTCTGATAATGGTAGTCTGCCATGATGTATGATTATTAGAGCGGTTAATGAATAGGGCAAAGCAACAATGATTTCGACGATGATCAAATGTTGCATGCCATTACCACTATGGGAAGGGGAAGGGGAAGATCTAAGCACGTGCACCAATGGCCAAATGTAACGATGGGTTGTTTAAAATACAATACCATTGTTGTGTTGTTGTTCCTTTGTCCCCACTTGAGTCGGTCCGAAGTCGAGACCCCAACTGCAATTCATAACTATCCTCGATTGGCGTATTTCGTGGTCAGCAACACGGATGGCAACACCGCGGTAAGTACCTTACTCGGGCAGACCCCGGTGTCAGGTTTCCTACGAGTAGAGTCGCAAGCAGCTACTGACCAGAGCCCGACTCCGTGTCATGGAGAACATGCAAGAAAAGTACTTCACAACAAGGACAGAAGAAGGAAAATGGGACAGTGGAAACTTAGGTTGGTGGTTAATGATTAACTTGATTAGTTGCAGGTGAGATGCAGTAGTCAGTGGGACTAAATAATCGTCGATGGCTCGGCCGAACTTTCATTTTCATGGCTTTGCCAAGTTGATGTTCCAGTAAGATTGCAGTGCCCGCTGAACACGGAATTCCACCTATTACCACCTCAACTCCGCCCCCACCAATCCACCACTGCTTTAACACGGAGTATCAGCCTAATTGTTCCATTTTGAATATCGAGTATCATCTGTTCATCAGCGGATGTCCGGGGGTCGTCTCACTCGGAGCGGTATTGTCTTGTAGGAACTAGGAACTAGAAGGTAGTATCCACACTATAGACTACTAAATGACTTTCCCAAATTGGAGAAGAGGATCGAAGTAGAATCCTTATCTCCATTGGCTTTCGGATAGACTTCTGGGATTTTTACTTCTTCTGTCCATTCTTCTGTCTTTATAAGTGATCGCTCCTGGGCAGCTTTTAACTGGGCGCATATTTTTATGTTGCTTTGACACCAGACAATACAATACAATACATAAACGGATACTGAAATTTTTCCCATCGCCCTTCGCAGTCAAACACGTAGCGGGTGCGCAAAGGTAGGTTGCCTGCCAACCATGTTAAGCGAACCCCAAGGCGCTCACAGCGATGGAGATTTTGCCCCATACTCTAAGTTGGTACAAGTTACAACTGACACCCGCCCCTAAACACTAGTTAGGACTAGTGTCATTCAAAAGGCCCGCCAGTGGATAGCACGCTTTGTGCACTGTCCGCCTCCACAAGGAGTACAGGTAATAGGCGCTCGGCTCCCGTATCGTCCACTTTTATTGCATGGCAGTGCGTAATTATTGCTACTCGACTACCCGGAGTATGCACGGAGTACCTAGACCTCTTTGTTTCTCACAACGAAACCCGGTTGTCTTTGAAAAACCCAAGAAATTGCACAGCCCGATAAGTAGCTCTGCAGTCGTAGCCCGAGCCGCTTTTTACACTTTTCAGCTTCCGCTTATGTTTCACTGGACTCATTTAAATTCTCGTCAAAACTGCAAAAGATCTAGGCTGTAAGGGGAATATCAGTATAACGGGTCTCTAGCTAAAGCGGCTGGTGACATGATCGACGGTATAAAATGCAAGTCATATTATTGTCAAACTGTAATGCTAATTAGTATCCTTAGAGGAATGGTGGGAACGAAATGAGATGTTACTGTGAAAATACCTCTAAATCCAGACTTTAGTATGGGGCCTTTGGGTGGACTGTGCATAAATTGTGGGCACCTGCGGCAGGCCGGTGTAAGATTCTGTCAATATGAACATCCCGAAATATAGGATGGTATAACCTGGTTCATGCATGCTTTCCGGTACTTTCACTGAGTGTCAATTTCTTCTTTCTCTCCCTCCTTCTTCTCTTAAGCGGGGGAGGGGAGAGCCGTGGTATTTGTCTATATCAGACGGAGAAAGCTATGGCGGGAAAAAGGCCAAAAATTGAACATGCTCTCTCTCCCCACTTCCCTTACCCATACTTCTCCAACAAACGAAATACAATAACCATCAATTAGTCCTTACATGGTAAGTAGCTTCCCTGCCCCATCCATGGATGATATCCTTATGGAGCTTCGGCCATTCCCGGGTGTGGGTGGAGTTTTGTTCGAAGTCCGTGCAGCCGAGAGAGATACGCGTCTGTTTCAGTTTGCCCAGTGGGATCCGGGTTTTGTCGTCGATTTTCATAGGTAGCTACGCACGTCCAGCGAATGACAGGCCTGTCCAACATGCAACTTCCATCTCATATAAAGGACTATAAATAAGAACCGAAGTGAAACAAAAAATAGGACAGATAAGGATTAGCAGAGAGGTTCTGAGGCTTATACTACGTAAGGCATTGTTTTTCGGCTCCATTTCCGACCGATGGGGGCGTAATAATGAATGGTCGTTGGTGGCTTAAACGCTCAGCACTAGTACTAGTACTATTGATAAATCATAATGCAGAGTGGAACACAATAGTAACTATGGGAGCATTACTGTAAAGAGATCAAGTCAGTACAACATTCCTTGGAGCTATGGGTATATGCATATGTTGTGCGGATATAAGTTCTCCGATACTGATAATATAGAAAATGTACAAATCAACAACATAAGATCAATAAACTTCTGCTAGCACTCCTATCGCTTTTTGGTGCTTTTGTCCTCGGTCGGAACTGCAAAGAGAGTGAAAAAAAAAAAAAGAAGAGGAGGATTCGCTTTTTGGTATGTACCCGGCCACCTACGTCGATGATATTTTTAACCATATTATACTTGATTTTTCCATGTGAATAAGTAGTAGCTATCAACCGCCCCAATTAACAGTTACTCCAAAGTACACTGCATAATGGATGAAACCATACTTAGTAGTACTTGGGTCCGGCTACAGACAACGCCGCCCTGTAAGCACATTGCCATTTTAGGTAAGCTGCATGGGAGTTGATTATCATCGGCAGCCACTAGGGCTGGTCTGCCTACATACGGAATGCAATATATCCCATCGGCACGAGGCATGCCAACTGCCAAGGCTCCACTGGGTACTAGTTGTAGTGAACAACCATGCAAGTCAACCGCTGTGCAAATCTGCTCCTTACTGAAAAAGGAGCTCGGGCCGCAGGTTCATAATGAGTCGGACGGAGAATTTAGATCATTCTTTGGAAATTACGACGGTCTTGTCGGCGATTGGTCGGGTTTCCCGAATCCTTTTTCACAAATTGCGGTATTCTTTCTTTACTACTAGCTACTAGTTGTATTTGGGCTTTACCTTTTTCATTTTTTTCTTCCTATTTTCTTCTTAGGTTTGTTTATCTATTTATTTAATTGTTTGTTTTGTTTTTGGTTTACTTTTCTTTCTTTTTTTTGTGTTTGAAGGGGGGGGAGGAAAGTTCCTTGCCCACGGGCATCCTTATTGCAGGTAACTGCAAAGTCCACTCTTTGTGGGATACAACAAGTCTTAGGAAGTTGATGTGCTTGGATTGCCGGGCGGGGACCATTTAAATTTCATTTCTCTGTAGTATCCGCTAGTCAAGCCAGGCCTATTTTAGATTTCAGTCTTTGTAGGAACACTGAGAGGGTAACAAATTAGTTGTATTATCAACTACACACACACCTCTCAGGTCAATCCAGAACAGCATATATTACTGGCTGAGCATTAGACGGCTCCCCATTCTCTGCCCCATTTTTATTACTCTTTTCTTTCTGCGCTTTTGTTTCCTCAAAGTTACCCGACATCAATGCTATTGCAATCGAAAGGCAACAAGCAACTTCCAATATCTATGTTATCCGTGATGCATGTCATGCCATGTTATCTGAAGTTGTTATTTTAACTTTGCCTAATATTAAAATTTCATACTTTCCTCATATAAATCATGTTTTCTCCCTCATGGCCCTTTCCTTTCTATATTTCTGTGTCCATTTTTCTTTCATCTATACATAGTTACTATGTATACTACATATATCATATAATTATTTTTAATTACCTGTCCTGAGGCTGCTCTAACTAGGACTCGGTGCTTACTACTACTTACCCCGACCATCTAACTTTGGAGCTAAAGAAATATCGATGCCGGAGCCGACCTCGTCGTTGACTGCTTAGTGGAAGCCAGCATCTGGGGAATGGCCTTGACTTCGTATTATATTCAGCCTATGATGTTGTTAATATCCTCCCCACCTAAGCTTCGTGATCCATAGATGCCTAGTAGCCAACTATAGTGGGCAGCGAGCACTGCTAGTGGCTTAATACACGATCGCCGCTAGGATCACCGTTATCCTGAACGTTTTCGGTTCGAAAGTCCTTGGCTAGGGTAAACATTCACACTACATTCTGTTACTCATACTTATTAAATCACCAAAAGATGTGAGGGCCATATGTATATCCTATACTTTGTTTTTACTGTCACCCAATCTATTTTGGGAAGGGAAAGGACGTCAGAAGTACTCTTGTTTCATCACTTACAGTGTCGCTCACCCAATCGAAGTTCACTTGATAAGAAAGATGGTGTAAAGGGCGAAAGAAAGTTTTATGTATGAGATATTATAAGCTTCTAACCTCCGCGCCCCGTTTTATTAGAGCGCAAAGGCCACACATTACGACGGTTTTGACAAATAAGGACAGGTGGCCTAGCTTAGTTGGATTGCGTGCCTCGCTAAATAAATCGCTGCTTCCCACAATTTCATTTTTCCCGATACTATTTCGTACATGTGGTTTTAAGTTGTACCATGTATTATCACAAGATTTCAAGCCGAGGACTGCATTCTTTACACTATTCTGTAATCTTGAATGAATCTGATTTGGTTGCAGTAAAATTCTGTTTCCAGTACTTACGTGTAGGCAACCTGTTTAACCTTTCCACTCCTTTTTAATTTTTAAAAACCCCCTTCCACCATTTTCCCTTTTCCGAAAAGCAAAAGGAAATACGAATCCGATAATAAAAAAAAGTTAGCTTACAATGGCTGACTTCTCTAACCATTATTAACTAGCACTGTAGGGATTAGTAAATGTTAATTTGTGGAAGTTCAGTGCCCGTGATTATCTGAAAAATTTGGAGTGTCATAGGCAAAATCTAGCAGTAAGTCGGCTGAACGACCCTAGTCTTGTACTAGTAGTCTAAATACTCACATCATGAGGTCCAGGCGGATGATACTAGCAAGGGTGCTTCCACCTGAGACGCCTCGTATTGAGTATTTGCATATATTTATTCATGTTTTGGCCTATTTTGTTCCACTTTTTCTGCGTATTTTCTTCTCCTTCTGTATTTATTCACAGCTTTACTCTGCTTTTCCCCATCCTTCCCTTTCTTCGCTACCTCTTCTGTCCTTCGATTCTGACCAGGGATATCAATGCTTCAGCAGTCTAATAGATCACCGATAGGAACTTAGTAGACTGTAGTATTATTATATATTCAGCTATTTTAGGGAGAGAATCCATATGTAGTAGACTATATTCACCAGTTTCAATGTGTGATGCTGACACAGTTGCAGGACTAGCAATGTAAACGAGAATGTCAGCAAATCCAAGGTATCCCCACTGAGGTAGATAGAAAGAAAAGAGAGGGAGAGCGAGAGAGAGACCCAAACCCTTCTCCAAAAATAAGTTATCAAGAATCAAGACTACATTGGCTTATCTTTCTCTTTATTTTTTTCCAACATTATCAAACATATATA